GTGTCTATTTACTTATTACCACTCAGTGTATATTATATAATAGATTTTATTGTTTTATAAATCATAAATTGACAAAAAAAATCAAATTTATAGGGTCCCATGAAAGAAATCAAATTTACTAATTTAGATTTTCATTGTTTTCATACCATGTGTTTGAAGTGTTAGCGTTTCAGACGTGGTGATTTGTATGAGTTATTAATGCAAGGTCAGGAGTGGTGTTATACCTGCCTGCAGGTTGTGAAAGGTCAAGTCAACTGCAGTTTTTAATTTTCCATAATAAGGTGCTCATGCAATTCAAGCTTACTATATATGTGTATTAAATATATCATCCAATACACGTACATAAATAAACAACATGCATTTTTTTTATTTGAAATATAAAAACAGGATTAGTCTTTTATATATTGTATTTTGAACTGCATTTGAAAGTTTTATTTCACCTATGTGGATTATCTGTAAACTAAAATGGTTCTCAATCAAATATAAACAAATAGTTATGGTGATGTCATTAATAAATTATGCAAACTAGTACTATTGAATGCTTGAATTTTCATTCGGAAATATGTTCCGAACCTTTAATGATCAAAATCAACACTTTATTACAGTCATATTGGCTTGCAGTCATGGCAAGCTGGCCTAGCAACAAAACATACAAACTTGATAAACATGTATTAAATACAGAGAACTAAGAGAGTATGGTATAGAATATTGTAGCACTTGTTTCAGTTTGCAGAAACATTCAGTTTTTTATTTCCAGTGCTCAGCAGAAACTCTCTACTCAACCTCCCCACCACCTATTACATGTACTTCCAACATGTCCTCTACCTCCTTCACAACTTCCACTTCAGTCAGTATCTCCCCAAAAAGTTCAAGTCCAGAGTTAACAAGTGTGTTCAAGCCCATTGAACAGTAAGTCAAACACAAGTACAATATTTTTTGTAGTATTTTGTGAACTATTTGTTTTTACATGTACATGATAATTATTCAAAAACTTTTTGTAAAATATTGGTCAAAAAATTTTATGTTGAAATTCGTGGATCAGTTTTTATAAAGTTATGGAGCAAATTTAAACTATTAACATCTTAAATATACATTAAAACATTGTAAATAGTTGTGACATGTTATAATTACAACATATTCTATCTAACATAAACAAAAATACTTTGGTGTAGGATTAAAATTTACTTCTGAATGATGAAAATTTACATTATAATAGGCTACATCTTCATTTCTAACATTTTATTTGGTTCACCTCTTTCTGGCTCAAGATTGTAGAAATCTTCAGAGCATAACTTGGTCCCTCCAACATATCTAACCAGAATTTTGTTACACATTTTTAATTATAACCATTTCTTCTAAACCCAAAAGAATATACATATTAAAAGTTGAATCTTCATACAAATGAAAAGAAGTTATATTTGGAATTTTTATGGGTTATGGAAACATTTATGCATGTACTTGCTCATTCATGTACATATAAATTTGTATATTTGTGCTCTGTCATGTAAAATTTTTAATTTATTTTTCTACCTGATTCTGTTCAAATTTATTAAGTCTTACCAACATATTTTACTCCTGCTTCTTTGAATAATAGTTATTTACAAATTCGATTATTATACATAGGAAGGCCTCTCTCTATTAGACTGATATATATATATACATGTTATTGGAATATGTAAAATTATTTTTTTATATATCAGATATTCCATTGAATTTTAATATTGTCAACATGTCTACTGTTGTTAAAATGCATAATATGCATTTGAACCAGAAAAACTTAAGCCTACAGTATGTATAATATACAATGTTTTACAGTTCTACAAGGTTATCAAACAGAAACTTTGACTACTCATGAAAATATGAACTAAAACTCAAATGTTAAGGGAGTACTTTGATTTCTTACATCATAAATATGCATAATAGTGCCATTTCAAAAGATCATAACTTTACATCATTCATTGACAAAACTTTTTATTCTTAATTAATATAATGCAATTGTTGTTTCATTAGTTTCTTGTAACAACAGATACACATGTTCTGATTAACAAATTACACAATAGTACAGTAAGTTTAGCTGAAATATTCATCACAGACTTCCCTCCCTATAAGTTTCCCGGTACTTGTATATTTGCATGATTTTCAGTATATTTTATGTATTATTACATCCACTTCTCTTGTCTAATGTTACGCAGAATATTTTTATGGCAACTTTTCTTTCATCCTTAATCACATTATTTGTGTTATTTATACTGTTACAACAATTTTATTAAATTACCAAAATACAGTTCCAATTACTTATCTTGTATACATTTTGTGACAATAGTTTTGTTCCTTTATACACCTTTTTTTATAACAATCTTGCTTCAAGAGTCTGGTTTTTGTATGTGTTCTTACAACAGCTTCTTCTCTTTATAAGTTTTGTGTTATTACAACAATCTTGCTTCATGAATCTGCTTTTGCGTGTGTTATTATGACAGACTTACTTCATGATTCTGCTTTTTTGTGTTATTACAACAGCATCTCTTGATAGTTTTTGTATGTGTTACTACAACAGTCTTGGTGAATCTGCTTTTGTTTGTGTTTTTACAACAGTCTTGCTTCATGAGTCTGCTTTTATGTGTTTTTACAACAGTATTACTTTGTGAGTCTGCTTTTGTATGTGTCATTACAACAGTCTTCGTGAGTCTGCTTTTGTATGTGTCATTACAACAGTCTTCGTGAATCTGCTTTTGTTTGTGTTTTTACAACAGTATTACTTTGTGAGTCTGCTTTTGTATGTGTCATTACAACAGTCTTCGTGAATCTGCTTTTGTTTGTGTTTTTACAACAGTATTACTTTGTGAGTCTGCTTTTGTATGTGTCATTAC